TTCTGCACCAAATTCTCCATGTTGTAATGCCCAGATAGCCATTACAAGTATTCCTTCCATTGATTTAGAGTATTTCGCAGATTAACGACAGAAACAGCACTTATTCGAAGATAATGCTCGAAACCGCTGCTGTAGGCTCGGAATACTCATTGCAGCAGGCCGAAAGCCGGCACGACGCTGTCACTGTCGTCGTGAGTGCTTCCCATTTGGCCTGCTATGGAACTCATGATAAGGTCTAGGTCGTTCAGGCGTAAGATTTTGGGCTCCATTTGTAGACTGCGCCTAGAATGATAATAATGACAAAAGGCATTTCTACAGTATTACTAACCGAAGTGATTATTGGTCACTTTCTCAACCATCAGTCACAGTAGAAGCAAGTGAAAAAAGTTGATAGATTTCAAAGGATGATTTTATCGTTACAAGTTCAACTCTGCCTGCTGTGATTGTTCTTGAAGCGGCTCCTCATGGTGGATCAGCGGTAGTGAAGGGCTTGTAAGAGAAGCTCGACGAGAACTGCGGCTCATCATACGGATAATCTGGTTTTGCGTTACTAGCTGTTGTCGCAAATCCTCTAGCCAGCATCTTTGAGTCCTCATTTCCCGCTGGAGATATGTAATCACGTTCGTGAGTACCTGCTTATCGCTGCGAAGCTGTTGCACTTCTGTCTGCAACGTCTCCCACTCTTTCACGCGTGCCTCCAGTTGACGTCGTTGCTCCTCTGCATATACACTGACATGGTGCAGACGTGCTTCGCTTTGTTCACGCTCATGTTGCAATTGAGCGTTACTCTGGGTAATGAATGCTGCAAATTGCTCGCAAAGTCGACTGTTCTCTTGCTGGGGTTCGTCCATGGCAGAAAGTTGTTGTAGTAACTGAGCAATGGAAGCCACTAGACAAGTTTTTGTAGGTGTTTTGAAGCCTTAGATGGAGCAAAAATTGGCGGCTTTGCTGACAAGCATACCACCAGCAAGAAAACCAGTCACCACAATCAAGCAAGAAAGTAGAGCGCAGCATGACCACCCACAAAGCAGCACCCAATATTGCCACGCTACTGCTTTCAGGAGCAATTCATGCTGAGCGGCCTCTAGTGAAGAGGGCTCTTTAGATATGCCCAAGTGCAGGTTCGTCGGTGCGCGTCTACAGTACCATCGCTGGCCTAGGCTGCTTCGTCTTTCACCCCTCGTGGTCCGCAATCTATAATGTAACATTCGGCGTTGCGAGACTAGGTGTCTAACAATGCCTTGCGAGTTGCTTTACGCTTTATGGTGGTCACCGTATATTGTGGCCCTTCATTCACCTCAAAGGCTCCTTGGTGTCTAATTCGCGCAAACTTCTCTTCAGAGTAATGGCATACATGATTTCCTCGTAGATGTTGGTTTTGCTTTTGGCTTTTATTGCTGTAAAACGCTGCTTGAATCAACATTTATGAATCAAATAAAGGGTTTTGGTTGATGAACAAATTCCATTTAACAGTCCATGATTTGCCGTCCTGAAACGATCGTCGGCGCGTGATAGGCTTATATCGGTTTGAAGTACATCGCAGGCGCAATCGCGCCAAAAAGGCGACTAGACTCCCTTGTTGCATTTTCCTGCAGTCCTTCCTTGGTGGCGCTTGCACCGCCACTCCATCGTGACGATTTATTCTTCCACCCCAGCAGCTTGCGCAACCCTTGAATTTTGAGCACCGCAAGCGTTCCGCAAGACGGTTTTCTGAGGTAACCTCCATCCTCAAGTGCGACCATTCAGGCTGCAGCGATTTTACAGTATCAATGAACCAAGACCCTGACATTGTCGCATTTTCTTCTGAGGCAGAGGGGTTTGGCGCGTAATTTAAGAGAAGTTATAATTTTCTCGGAGGGGGCCTATTCCCGCTCAACCCTGGAGATCTGCACCTCTAGATTTTAAGTTTGTAACCAGCAGACGTCAACGCCTGGCTACGCGTTCAACCACAAATAACAATGACAACGGCTTGTTTAGGCTGTTCAGGACTGCTGCTGCTGGTACCCCCTTGTCAAAATTCGATAGTTCTCCGCAGACGGAAATTACTGTACCTCTTGATTCGTTCTATTTTTTTTTTCCCACTTGGGAGCCAGAAACTGATTCTCGCTCCAGAGCAATGAGAAAGCAACTTTTGAAAGCGGTCCAGCAGCAATCGGTCTATCCATGCCGCATCGGAAGACGGTGCAAGTTAAACCGTGGCCTGGACCGGTACATATCCATATATAGCGACTTAGAAATAAGCCAACCGATTCCCATATTGTACTGTAGCTCTTGTTATGGATGGGCACACAAGACAGACATCCAGCGTGTACTCAAACTTTGAGTTGGATGAGTTGCTAAGCCACATCACAACTCAAACGCGAGAGCAACAAGACCACACTATCCGTCGGCTTGAGGTAGAAAGACTGGAGGAAGAGAACACGCTTTTGCAGACGAAGCTGTCAGCTGTTCGCGATTGTGCTACACGTTTATACGAAGCAGTATGGAAAACAATGACGACAACCACACAATTAGAAACGCTGCAGTCCAAGATGGAGCGTTTCTAGGCGGGATGAGTTCTCCATCCCAACTGCATATACCAAATTGGTTTACAATACCTCAAGATCAAGCTTCATAGAACTACCATTCAATTTGTGCGCGAAACTTAATCTTGGTACATGCCAAACGTAATTCTCATCATGAAGTCTATGGGTTTTGTATTCCGTGACCAGTGTTTCCCAATGAATTAGCCACCATTTCTGGCCAACAATATCCATGACCACTGGGGCCGCGGCACTGGGCCAGCCGCCCAACGCTATTGCGGCGCTGCTGCGGCTCATAAACGTGGTTGGACACACGTCGCTGTCTGTTCTACAATGCAACATGTTAAAAAGAAACGTGCCATACTTGCGCTTCTCATCTGCCGACCTCTAAGAAACTTAGCTTTCATACGAGACCTTGGTATTATCGGCGTGTCCAAAGAAGTGATACCAGCGGCGTGTGGCGTGCTCGTCCGGCACACATTTGCAAATTTCTGTGAGCTTAGAAACCTTGTTGTAGGGCTCATAGGGTCTAATGAACAGATTTTTGAAGACAGTCTCTGCAAAGAGAGTTGTCAATTCCAACGGGCTAAAAGTCCTCCAGAGTGCAGGTAGACGAAGCGGCCAGTTTTTGTTGCATCGCAAACCAGGCTGTAGATCGAACCGATGAGGCTTGCGACAAAAAAGAATGCTGCTCGCTATCAGCGTTTGTTACTGCTCGAAAGAAAAGTAAGCTCACCGTCGAGGCTGGAAGGTAGCCGGCCTCCAGTATACGGACGAAATCGCAAGCATCTGCGGACCAGTCGCGACATGGCCCACGCAGCTCCATGAAGAGGTCTCGTAGAAAGACTGCAAGATACGAGGTGCCGGCAAGTTTGAAGAGCGGTGATATATTAGGCTCATAGCCCCAATCTAACACTGACGCATGTTTTTAGCAGGACTATGCAGAACTCATCCGAGCAGTCGATGGCCTGGTGGCTAGTACCTTCGGGCGGTCGGGGGTGTGGACGACTCTCGCACTTACCGATCTTTACGTCGCCCGCTACAGTGGTTCGAACGCAAGCAACGCGGAAACCAATGCCGAGCACCAACAGATGTTGCAGCCCGTTCAGGACCTGCGACAGTCAGCGTGAGTTAAGGCCCTGGACAAAACCACTCTACCTGGGCGAAAACGTAAGCGATTTCGGGGTCACAGAGGGGCCCTAATTCGAGTACGCTCAGAGCGACGTGTTCTTGTATGAAAAAAACTCTTTTTTGGTAGTAGTATATGGCGATGGGATGGGCAATGTGACAAGACGATACATTGGCAAGGGAGCGTAGGTCCTGGAGGCAGTCGTTTTCCACCTCTTGAATGTCGACAAGTTGTCGTTTCTGGTGATTTCTGTGCACAGCTGTCCAAGGGCCGGTTGCCGTTTTCATCTGCCGGCTACCTTGTGGAAGGTAGTCGACGACAGGATGGCGACCGAGGTGTAATGCAATGTGAACAGCGGCTGGATGTAGCGGTAGCATGGACTTTTTTTGTTCTGGCATATTGCGACGGCGGAGGCCAAGACGGCTAATTGTGCGTACATTTTCTGCTTGGGCGTCCGGACGATGTGCCTCTCTATATACTACCTAAATCGTTCTGGCGCCATTCGCAGCCTGTTCTGGCCGGTTGACAACACCCCCCTCCTTGAGTCCCTATACTTCAACCTCCCAGGTCGGCACTCTTCTACGCTGTGTACACATCTAATGGGGCTGATCTGAATTGATGTATTGAGTAGGCGTCATTGGATCATCCGGCACTGAAACTGGTGGTCTGGACATGGTGTTTGCCTGCGTGATGGCTTCGCCAGACATGCCCCACGATTGATTTTGCTGGGGAGGTACACCAAGGTGCAGCTTGAACAGGTCATATAGACTACATATTGTCAAAACGAAAGATTGTTGGTGGAGGCAGCAGAGCTTACATAGCGATGTTTTCACCAGACCATCCCGACCTCTCACGCCCTTCCTGTTGAAAGCGACGCACTTCTTGTTGAAAGCGACAAAATTCTTGCTGGATTTCCATCACGATGGCAAACAGGTCGCTCAGCGTCGTGTGGTCTTGACTGTTTCGTGCGGCTGGGACATGCATGTCTTGCATGTCTTGCATGTCTTGAATGTGATGATACTCTTGAGCGTCTGGAACGCCTGGAACATCTTGCACGTCTTGCACGTCTTGCACGTCTTGAACGTTTTGTATGTTTTGAATGTTTTGATCGTCTGGAACGCCTGGAACGTCTTGAACACTGTCATAATTCTCTTGATAAGGCTGGGGAGGATGGTTGTAGTGGCCAGACGGCTCACTGTTGAGTGTTGGGCCAAGCCCGCGCATGGTATTCTGCTGGTGCTGCTGGTGCTGCTGATGCTGTCGGGGTAATTGGCCAGAACCGCCGCTACGACCGACAGGCATCTGACGGCCGCTATGGGGGTTCTGCAGCCCCGGCGGAGGAGGGTTTGTTCGGCGTCTCTGCCCAGCGGAGACGCCATGAGTGTAGTTGTAGTTGCTGTACTGGCTTGCCATGATGGAAAAGATGCTGAAATTGCTATGCCGTAAAACACTGGCACGGGCCGGGCTATTTATAGGGCAGCCAGTTCTGACTTTTTACTTCTGGCCAAATTTTGGTCCTTTTCGGCTCTGCACCGAGAACAGCTACGCACGGTGTGGACCAGACTGTCTGCTACAGCAGCTGAGAGCCAAGGTGTTGTGCCTGCAAGCTGTCTTCGTTGGTGGCTGAGAATTGACTTGATCTTTTGCCTGCCTGTGGGCCGGCCAGCATGCAGCAGACCCTCGTCCGCAGATCAAAATGCCACTGATTGGTTTGTTGGTTGGCTTTCAAACAGGGAGCACTTTGAGCATTGCAGGGGTGGAGCACAGCCACGCGCAAAGCAGCAGCCGAACGACTATCAACGCAGGAGCTACCGGCTACTGCGCGATACAAGCACTAAGCATTGACTGAATATTCATGAGAAACCTTTGTTTTTTTCTTCATTTGAATGAATTGCTATGCCTACACTTGCTAACATCTTAGTTCGTTCGCGCGCTGTCCTGAGCGAATTTGGCTGAAAAGTTGGTTCTGCCTCGTGTGATCATGCAAAGTCTCTAGACAGGAGTTGGTTGGTTGTGAAGAGGACATTCCTTTGTGGAGCTGGCGCCTAGCTCATTTGGTTCTGGCTTGCATGCGTTGGGCGTCACGCGTTAGACTGCGTTGACAAGGGATTGTGATCAGCACTGTCGAGAGTGACCCGTCTAACCGTCCTTGTGCTTAAAGCTGACACATCAACACCAACTAGCACACTGCTGCAGCTGTAAGCAGGCCCCAAATTACTAGCGTTGCTCATACGAGGCACGTATCGCGGGCTCACCCTCCGGAGGAAAGCTGCCAGAGACATCATTCCCTTTGCGTGATCCCGGGCCCACAACCTGACTTCCATTGGTCCGGGGAGCTCCGAGGGTTCCATTGTTGTGTGGAGAAAATAGTCCGGCGCCGAAAGCACGCTTCCCACTGACTCACATGCACAGTCGATAGCGTGACGACCACAGTGTGGCGGACGTTAGAAGTAGCGGGTCAAGATCCTGGGGAGCTCGTCTCTTTGTATGCTCAACGCTTGTGGAGAGCTGACCGGTACAGTCTTTCACTGCTATACCCGAAAAGTGTCTTCATCGGCAGCTGTCTTCTCCACGGGCTCTCGAACTCAGAAAGGGATCGTTCCTCAAAGCCGCATACACTCGCTCATGGGAGCGTAGGCAAACCCCTCCGGATGTGCGAAAACGCCGCCAGATAGTCCCGCATGGAGCCTGCGTAACTCTGGGGATCGGTTCGATACCTCTGCACGCACGCAATGTCACCTGTAATACATGTATCATACCCGCAGGCATACGACCATAGGTCCACCCAGCGCTCGGTTTCTCCTAGTCGGGCAAGGTTAGCTGCATCGCACGGACCTGGCCTTCTAGTATTCGCCTTGGGAGAGCAGCTCCTCTTCTTTGACAAGCTCGACAAACGCCCGAAGCTACCGGCCACCTCCTTTCTCGCCTCTCATTTATACATCGCCCCTCAGTACAAGTTTGCGCCCCGACTCGTAGCTACTAGGCCTTTGCCAAAGCAACCTGGCTCTGCGCAGACTTGACATGGGTGTATACTGGTAAACTGCGCACCGAGCATGGGGTGGCGTGCACCCCATCAATACTGAGTGTGATGGGCAATCCCAGGATGTATCCTGGTGCCGCTAACCCTTCTAGGGAGCATTAGCCTAAACGCCGTCTGACCAAATAGGGGTTAGCTTGAGGAACAGACCAGCGGGTTGCAGGGGTGTAAAACCTTCGATCATAATGTCTAAAGCTACACCCTGACCCCCGGCATGACCATCCTCCTTCTGCTTGGAAGCCTGTCCTTCTTGTTTCTTTTCCTTCTATCAATTCTGTTGGACATGCCTGCACACTTGAACTCAATCTACACCCCAGAGTTACATGACCAACACTGGCAACACTCCACCTCTTCTTTTCATTGATTCTCTATCTTATTTTTTGATTGCTGTTCTAAGCTCACTATACACTGCTAAGCCGATTTTTGACTTCATGGATCACTCAAGACGTCAAAAGTACTATGATAAATCTTTTGTGCTTCCTTTCACTTCAATTCTGGGAGTCCGAATGTTGATTGATACACGTAGGCTATTCGATCTAGCCCCGTTACTAAACCCCAGTTCTACAATACCTTTGTGATGGTTTCCCTGGTAGACGCTATGACGCTACTTTTTGAATGCTTCTGTCTGCTCACCCCCGGGCAGTCCCCGAAAAATTTCCACGGTTAGGGCTACTTTTCACGCCCTGCGTGGGAATGGGCTGTAAGTTCCAGGTGCTTGGTTGAGAAGGGAAAAGTCACGCCCGGGAGTGGACATGTGTAGAACGTAAAAAATTGGACAGAGAAGTTGCTTCACCCCGAGGGTCTAAAAATCGCCAGGATCAGGTGTGAAAATAGCGGCCCTGGGTGTGTGATCCACACACATCTATGCGCTAAGGGAAGCGACTTCTGCGCTTTATCCGGAGCAGAATAGTTATGTCGGCCAGGGCGGTCATTCGAATCAACGCAACAATGCTGGGTGAAAATGGCTGCCCTGAGAAGGAGCGGAAACATGCTCCCGTTCTCGTCGTGGCTTGTCTAGTTATGCACGTGGTGTGTCTGTAGCAGTGGCTACTACTGGCCACTGGCCAAAGGGTGGCAGCCGACTGCTTCGACAACCCCGGGCGTGCGAAGCCCCTCAAGGTGCTGGTAATGGCTTCTACAGCAGCAGCATTCGGAGCAGGAGTGTACCGCTACTTGACGGAATATATATGGTTGAAGCCAGTTCCGTATCCTATTGTGCCATCATGTTGTGGTTGGTCACTTTTCATCTCGTGCTCTGCGCATTATGGCACCAAAGGCGGTCCTTACTGGGCATAACAAGAAGCAGAAAGAAGCAGCGCGCAAGCGAGGCCCCAGTCTGAAAAGCAAGACTCGAAAGCTAGGCTTGAAAGCCAACATACGTACAGCCGTTTTCTATGAGGATCCAACCCATGGCATCTGGCACATGGCAAGTCATTGTCCCACGGGCAAGACCCTACCAGATCTAAATGCACTAGTGAGCATCATAAACACCCTTGATGAGAGAATTGGCGCGTCTCTCATACCTTGTAGCTCGCCGAATACCAGAGAACCAAGAAAGAACCTCGAGTGCGACCCGGCATCGACATAGAACCCGGATGTCGACGCTCCGGTAGTCCGCGTCCGACTCGCCCAATGCGTCCGAGGCAGCAGTCCCGGCGTACCAAAAGCATGCAACGACCTGATGGAGCGCAGCTCGCACACACTGCCCCTGAAAATGTCTACGATGTGCCTGACGATGACGGCGGCCGAGTACTATCGGAGTCTGCCTCTGGGGAAGCGAGCAGTGTCGAATATGATACGGGCGGCCAAACCTCGGACGGCGCGGCGGATGCGGGAGTTACAGACAATGAGCACGAGTCAAACAGCGCGGTGGGCGAGAGAAGCACGGAAGCATTGCTGCCCGTCGCGAAAGGGGACCATGTGGACAGCGTAGAAGACATGCCCTCCATAGAAGACTCAGAGCTGCTGGGGGACACATGGTTCATCAACGATATGACCGATTTCGGTGCAGGTATAGAGGAAATGGGATCGGATGACCTTCTCGAAGCCATCGAGGGCATGGAGGAAGGCACCTTTAGCGATATGCCCATGATCGATCAAATGCTCCAACTGCAACTTGTAGATCAGGCCGGGACCCCACCCCAGCCAGCGCGGGAAGAAAGCCAAGCGAAGGGATCTCCGAAGCCGAACAGCTTGGCAGACTCTCATGCTAGGCGTTTAAGCCTAGCTAGAGCGGAGGCCGAGGCCTGGACCTACTGGGCCCGGCACACTAGACCCTTACTTTGGGGATGGTGATAAAGGCAAACTCCAATTTATATAGCAATGCATTCCATTAGCTATTGAAAGAACCAGTTTCCAACACAGCAGCAACTATCCACTTGAACCTTTCTCAATCCCTATTCTGAGTCAACTCTCCGTGTGGACTGTCAGGCGGCGAAGCGGGCAGCTCCGAACGGTACTCCGGCGGCGGAGCCTCGCACAACTCCCTCGGTTTGCATTGATAACAGCAGAAACATCGATGCTCAACTGTGCGATGTTCCACGACTGTCTGGTTCTCGACAGCTCGTCGGGCTTGGCGGGTCGCGCATCGAGAGCAAATGTCCACAACACGCGGTGCGTCGATGATGCGTAGCAGTATCAGCCGCCAATAGAAGGACGCAGTGGCATTGGCGGGCCACTTGACGCGACGCCTTTTGCAGCGTCCACATTCGTAGATTCTCATGGCCGTTTTTGACGCAGGCCGAGGACTGGCGTGCTTGCACACTGCCCCTCCGTTGCCGCTGTCCGCTGGCCTCTTATGTATATAGCTATTGGAAAGTGTGGCCAAAAGTGTCCATCCGCCATCTTTAGTGTTGCAGACGTCTAATTTTGGCTCGCCATTTCTGCATAAATAGAAAGAGCGACGCGAGCAGTCTTTCCGGCAGTCACACAACCAAATCAATATGCTCTGTAAACACACTGCCTGGCTGCGCCTGGTAAAGGAGAATAATGAATACGCTGTGCAGGTAACGGATCGTCCTCGGAGAGTGTTTGGGAGGGCGGAGGACCACTTGGCACGTGATGCACCGGAGCTTGTTTTTATGCTGGGCAATTGGCGCAAGGTGGCTGCGCTCCGCGAATTAGCTGTAGAGCGGCGTGTCTACTCAAGAATAGACGGAGAGGTCCATCTCCTCGCGGGTTCGCTGAGCGGACATGTTGGCAGGTCACTTCTCGTCGCAGAAACCGATGTTGGTTTCCGAAACAAAGTATCGCGCGGAACCGCTTTCTCGCGGTGCCACGAGCTCACCCGTCGCGGCCTAGCACCCGCCGCGCATCGGGCGAGCGACGAGAGCGTGATGAATTGGATGATCAATCGGCTTGTACTCCCCTTCGCCGGCGTTGTATGCGTATTCATCAGCGATTTGGGCGGCATCAGGGGCGTCGCCCGACACCTTGACTTATGGCTCGAGAACGGGTTACCGTCGGACAGTCCTGTCCTGCCGTGGCTGCTTCTCGTAGACGATGGTTCAGAAAAGAGGTCGAAAGATCTAATCCTAAAGGATTTGTATCGTTTTATGAGAGGAGCTGCGCCAGACGAGCATGGGACGCCCACCATAGCCGTGGAGCTTATGACGCGCTTTGCTGGCATCCGCGTCGCCAGCCTCAACACCGCTGCTCACGCGCGGAAACAACCGCAGTGGGACGAGTTCCGCGATGAGTTGGCAGATCTTGTAGACAAAGCGCGGGAAAACCGCACAAGAGAGTGGCATTTGTACACGGGCGAGCATCTTTGCGAGCTGATGAACCACACAGCAGGCCTAATTTCGTTACCGTCAGCACCGGCGCCGCTCGATTTCGTGTCTGTGACACGGAGCCGGCGTCCAGTGCCCGGTCATCTCGAGTCGGTCTTGTCTGACTTTTTAGGCTGTATTGACTCTTTTGAGCTCTTGCTTTCATTTGCCGTTCCCGTTATAGCCTCGAGCATCATCTTCGATCACTATATGACGAGGATGCACGGTGTGTTGCAGACCGTCATGTAGAAAAGCGTCGCTGACAGATTAGTATTTGACATTACCGACGTATTTGATAAGCTTTACAGACCTCGATTGGCTCATTTAGGCCAGAGGCTATTGACAGCCGCTGACGGAACCAAGAAACTAACGCTGCCTTCTACCTTCACCACATTACTGATCAAGAGTCTACAGCAGCAATTCCATGACTTCATCGGAGCGCAGTCAGCGCTGCAGCTTCACAAAGCCCAGCTCCTTGCATTTCGGCAGCAATGGGAGGTCATTCATTCTTCAGCCTCCTGTTTCAGCTGCATGATGAGACTGGCGAAGCACAAGCTACCATGCGGTCACTGGATATGTGCCTTCTGCTGTGACCATTTCTCGGACAAGACAGCCGGATTTCAAAGCTTGTCTCATTGTCTGCTTTGTAGTCAAGAAACGAATGGGATGCGCATTCGCGTAAAGCCTAGGACATCTGCGCTACGGATTCTCTGTATAGACGGCGGCGGCGCCAACGCCGGCGTCCCGCTCGCGGCCCTCAAAGCGCTCGATGAGCGGCTCGGTCTGCCATTTCCAATTCAGTACCACTTTGACATACTTTATGGCACTTCTTCAGGTTTGTTGTCCGCCGCCGTGTCAAGCTCTATCTAACATGCACAGGTGCCATCAGCGCCTGGGGTTTGGCGCTCGGGTTGAGTGTGCAGGACTGCATCGTGCTGGTCGACACCATGGCTAAGCACACGTTCCAAGGCCGAGATGTCTCCGCATTTCCACTGGGCCGGACCAGCGTCGGCCAGCGGCTGTTGCGAGGCGTTATCACGCTACTCACCGACAGCAAATATTCATCCGCTAACCTTGAGACAGCATTGAAGGCAGTCTTTGGCGAAGCTAGAATGCTTTCAGACTGGACTATCGCGAACGAGATGGGCCTGCATGTTGGCTTTCCTGTCGTGACGGCAGAAGATACGGCCACTTTGGTGGTCGCCAACGACGGTGGTACGGGAGACCCCGAAGACGCGGTCGGTATGTCGCTCCGCTGTTCTGGCAGCACTCAACGGACGGGCATGACTAACATCTAGCGCGCCAGCTAACTTTCAGATTCTCGAATCCAAAGATGTCCCTCTCTGGCAAGCGTACGTTGCCATCCTCTACCCCAAGTAACTGGCGTACTAATCCAGCTCAGATTGCGCGCGACCACCGCGGCACCCTTGTACGTTCGGCAACCCGCTTGACTGTTGGCTTCTGACCCCGAGTTACAGTTACTTCAATCCCCAGGTTATCGATGACGTTGCGTACCAGGATGGAGGCATGACATACAACAATCCATCCGCTCTCGCCCTCGCGGCCGCACGGTCCCAGTGCCCCGAGAAGCCGAACCCAGGTCTCTTCCTATCCTTCGGGACGGGAGTAGGCAGGATGACGAAAAGAAGTTCACGCAGCGTTACAGACCTCTCCGGGACAGTGGGAGGAAGGGTGCAAAAGCGTAAGAAAAGGTCGTGGCTTCGCGTGGTGCATCGCTCCTCTGTAGGTCGCGTCTGCGGCGCCTTTATGAGGCAGAATGATTCGAATCGAGAGTTTGAGCGCGTTTGCCAGCATATTCGCGGCGGACATTGTTTCCGCTTTGATCCCGAGCATGACGGGCCGCAGCCCAACCTAGACGACATCGCAGACTTGCAAGGAAGGCAGAGGCGGGCGGAAGCCGCTGCGTCGAGCGCACCAGAGATCCGGGCAGCGGCCAGCTGTATACTAGCCCAACGATTTTATTTTGAGCTAGATAGCATACCGCACTACTCGAACGGCATGTATCATTGCTCTGGCGGGCTACACTGCGACTTTGAGCCAGGCTCGCCCGAGCAGACCGCACTGTTACACCGTTTTGACCAAGCCGCGGCCAGTTTTCAGCTCGGCAGCCAGATATTCCCAGGCCCGTTCCTTCGACGTGCGACCCGGCAGAGTGACTCCACGCTTGTTAGACGTGTAATCTTCTCTGTCCGCACTAAGCAAACAGAATTTTCGATTGAGATTCAGGAGCGTCCGGAT